CCCACAGATTTTCCCCCTTTCCTAGAAACTGGGAATTTTGATATTTATACAGAAAAGGGGCAAAAAGAAGCGTATGCTTTAAGGAATGTTCTGAACCACAGCCATTATTATTAGAGGCCTCTCTGAACAGCTGCTGCCCTTAGGTACAGGTTGGAAGATACTCCATCCTTAAGTCTAGAGTGCAAAATGTGGGAACCTGGGTGCTGTGTACTTCCAAATCAAAGAAATAAAAGTACTGTGAACATCAAGAAAGAAAGACTGAATCAGAATTAGGTACACACAAGGCTATATAGTAGGCAGACATTATTCCAAAGGCAACAATGATTTATACTGCAAAAATGAGTATAATCCTACAGGGGAGAAAATTGACTTTCTAATAAAATAGGATACTTTTAAATATTGGTGCTGAAAAGCCCAGAGCTTGGTGGAAACTTTGAAATGCACACAGAAATTTAGAGAATTGACTGAGCAGTGATGAAATCCTTATATCCTGAGAGAAGAAACCTAATGTTCCTTCAGAATTCCACTGTCTTCAAGAGTCATAGAGGGAATTGACAGACACAGCCTGGTTGTAGTTTTGTTCTTTTTTTGGTTTTGAATGAGGAAAGAAAAGGGAAGGGGAAAGGAATATATTAGAAAAGAATTGAGTAAGGAGTAAAGCTTTATTGTTTTGCAAAATTGGGGTATGTAAGGAAAAGAGTCTATAAACATGGAAGGGAGGCCTGAACAGCCGTCTCATGCACTCTTATCTGAACCTTGCAAAGGAAGGTTGAATGCACACAAACACATACATTTTGGTATAGATATACATTAAACTCAGTGGGGAGAGCATAAGGAGCAGAGGCTAGGAGGGAAGAGTCACAGGCAAAACAAAGTTATACAGAGGGTGGATCCTAAAGGGAGAGTTAAAAAGAGGAAAGTATAAGAAGTGAAGCTTATTTGTCTGGCCTTGATGGTGAGAGATAGAGCAGAGGAGTTAGAACACACCAATATAATTGTAGATTATTAATATTGATCAAGTTCTTTCTTTCTCTGCTTTCTACTTTGCAAAGGTATGGGAAAAGATGAAAAAGTATAAGTATATGATGAGGTAAATTAAGTCCATTCATTGCAGCACTTGCAGTGAGGGCTTCTTGAAATTAAGGATTTAAAAAAAGGAGACATGATTAGTTTTTCTTCCGTATTTAAATTCTTGATGACACATATTTTTCCAAATGAGTAATTACGTACTAACCCAATATGCAAAGGAGATTCACTAAAGGATCTTATTTACAGCTCATTCAAAACAGGAGTAGCATACTAGTGGCCTTAAATGTGTGTATATATTGGGGTAGTGGTGTGGCAGCTCCTGTGATTGTGGTAATATGTAGAAGCTCCAAAATGACTTTTTCTTTTTGTATAGGAAAAGTCCAATATCTGGTCTATGTTTAGAGATTCTCCCTCCTTTTCAGAGTTGCCAAGATGAGGAAAAATGATAGCTGCTACCTTTGCTTCTAGATCTATACTTTGGGATCTTTGAGTGCAATAATTGATTGAGAGGAATGAAATTGTCAGTTTTCCTGATTCAAAGTTGGCTTAAAAGGGGTATGTGCAAGGGCTTACCTGTGATGCCAGGGTACATGAGACTGCCTAGGTTCACATAGATGCTTAGCTATAAAGTTGCTTTGGGCAAAGGGAGAGGCAGCCATCTTGGTTGGTTTTAGGGGTCAAAGCAAATTTTATCTACTTAAGCACAAATTAAGTATAGGATCCATGTGATAGGAGGAAGAAAGCTACAATTCCTACTTCTAGTAGCTGTAGAAACATATATATGACAAAATTCCTGGGAATTTTGAAGTCATAGAAATGTGGATTTTTTTTCTCCCCTCCTTTCCCCCGCCCAGAGAAAAATAGCATTTCCCCCCTTCTTAGAAACAGGGAATTTTGACAAAACATTGCTTTGACAAAAGAGAGAGAGAGAGAGAGAGAGAGAGAGAAGAGAGAGAGAGAGAGAGAAGAGAGAGAGAGAGAGTGTGTGGTTGTGTGTGTGTGTGTGTGTGTGTGTATGTTAAGGATGATCTAATGGTTTCATTTGGCCAGTGTGAACTCTACATACAGTAGAATCAAAATTAATGACATAAAAAGTTTTTTACATACTGTGGCGTGATTCCTTTATGTTTTGTTCAGATTTCCAAAATTTAATTTCTAAAACCTTTTGTTTTCATATTTGGAAACATCTTTATGCTTTTATGTTTTGTGAGCATTTCCTTTCAAATTTTCTCTACTACTAAAAAGTAAAAAAAAAAAATTAGGGACCTCCAAAAGCTCCTAATTTACTTCAGAAGGAACCGTTAATTATCTTTTTCTAAACAAGTTGGACCTTGTCAACCATAAGTAATTTTTTCTCCTGGTAGGTGTCAGAAGCTTCTATGGTTTAGACAAGTGATTTTTAATAGAGCCACTAAATTTATAATCCTGGTTGCTGTGTTGGAATGACTTTAGGTAGAAAGGGGATACTTCTTTTCTACCTTGTACTCTGTCCACCCTGTTAAACTACTTGTCTTAGAAGCAAGCAATTCTTAATTCCTATGGCAGTTCCAGTTTTAATTTAAAATATAACTTTAACATAGACAGGAACATGATGTATCACTGTTTCATGGGCTCATTCACTTGTTTGAGAACAGAATTAGTGAGATGAAGTTGTTCAAAATTTGACAATTTTCAAATAGTACACAAGACACAGTAGTCAATGACTATAGTAATCTATTGTTTGTTAAACCCAAAGACTCTAGCTTCTGTTATAAGAACTCACTGTTTGACAAAAACTGCTGGAAAACTGGAAAACAGTTTGGCAGAAACTTTCCAGGCATAGACCAAAATCTTACACCCTATACCAAAATAAAGTCAAAATCTGTACGTGATTTAGATATAAAGACTGATACTATAAGCAAATGGGGAGAGCAAGGAATAGTTTACCTGTCAAATTTATGGAAAACAGAAGAATTTATGACCAAACAAGAGACAGAGAACATTATAAGATGTAAAAGGGTAATTTTGATTACATTAAATTGAAAAGTTTTGCACAAACAAAGCCAATGCAGCCGGGATTAGGAGGGAAGTAGAAAACTAGGAAATAATTTTTATACCCAGTGTCTCTGATAAGGGCCTCGTTTCTGAAATATGTAGAGAACTAAGTCAAATTTATAAGAATGCAAGTTAATCCACAATTGATAAATGGTCAAAGGATATGAATAGGTAGTTTTCAGATGAAATTAAATCACTATTGATTAGAGAAATGCAACTCAAAACAACTCTGAGGTACCACATCACACCTATCAGATTGGCTAACATGACAAAACAGGAAAATGTGGGAGAAGATGTGGAAAAATTGGAACATTAGTACATTGAAAGGGCTATAAAAATGTGTATACCCTTTGACCCAGCAATAGCACTTGTAGGGCTGTATCACAAAGAGATTGTACAAATGGGAAAAGGACCTACATGTACAAAAATACTTGTAGCAGCTCTTTCTGTAGTGTCCAAGAATTGGAAATTGAAGGGATGCCCATCAATTGGGGAATGGCTGAACAAGTTGTTGTTTATGAGTGTAATGGAATACTATTGTGCTATAAGAAATGATGAGCAGGTGGACCTCAGAAGAACCTGGAAAGACTTGTATGAACTGATGCTGAGTGAAGTGAGCAGAACCAGGAGAACATTGTACACAGTAACAGCCACGTTATACGATGACTAACTTTGAAAGACTTAGGTCTTCTCAGCAATGCAAGGACCTAAGACATCTCCAAGTCTCATGGTGGAAAATGCTATCCAAGGGGCCTCTAGGTGGCACAGTGGATAGAGCACCTGGAGTCAGGAGGACCTGAGTTCAAAACCAGCCTCAGACCAGACACTTGACACTTACTAGCAGTGTGATCCTGGGCAAGTCACTTAACCTCAATTGCCTCACCAAAAAAAAAAAAAAAGAAAGAAAAAAAGAAAAAAGAAATGCTGTCCACATCCAGAGAAAGAACTATGGAGTTTGAATGCAGATTGAAGCATACTATGTGTGTTTTTTTTTTTTTGCTTCTGTTTTGTTTTGGTTTTTCTTTCTTGTGGTTCCTCCTATTGGCTTCTAATTCTTCTTTACAACATGACTAATATGAAAATGTTAAATAGGAATGTGTATGTAGAACCTATGTCAGATTGTAATGTCATCTTGGGGAGGGAGGTGGAAAGGAAGAGGAAGAAAATTTAAAACTCAAGCTTATGGAAGTGAATGTTGAAAATGAAAAATAAATTTACTTAAAATTTGAATATTTTCACATAAAATAAAATTGAAGGAAGACTGTAGAATGTTATATGGTTCCTGAGCCTGTAGCCATATTCATATTTCTTTGGTTTCTTCCTTGTAGTATTCTATTACTAAATATCCTGAGCTGTTTGAATTTTTGGTTACCATGTGGTACATGTTTTGTCACTCCTCAGAATTGCTGAGAAAATCTTAAGTGATGAGTAAGAAACCTTTTAATCATTAAATGTCAAAGTTCAAAATAAATTTGTTTTGACTTTTTATGTATCTTGTAGCTTTTGTAAGAAAGGATAGTCTGAATCTAAACTTAGATGTAAAACATTTAGGCTAGAAAAATTTCCTCAAAAACAAGTTTTTCTACAGGGTTTAAAAAAAAGCAGAAGTTAAGTTCTTTTGGAGTCATTTCATGACTCCAAATGTCCATCTTTGATAAAACAGTAGAAGCACCTTCTTCCTAACCACATACACACATAAATACTTCATGACATTAGACTGCTAGTCTATTATTACTAGTCTCAAAAGTCAGATGGAGAGATTGGGGAGCAGAGTTAGGAGGGAGAAAGTGATTTTAGCCACATACTTGCAGTGTTGTAAATCATTCATGGATAGCATGAAGGGAGACTTAGTATCAAAATATTTCATTGTCTTGGTTTGTTTGGTCTACAAGGGTCAATTAATTTGTGACTTTTTGGAACACAACTAAGATATAAAATTTCATTTTATTCAGTATTGGGTGTCTGCAAGGTATAATGCATTTTGCTAGGGGAAATAAAGTATTTCTCAGAATCACTGATTCCTCTCTCCCCCCCCCCCAAGGGAACAACCCTTGTCAGATATTTTTGTGACTACCTAGTTTTACCTCCAGGGTCATTGCTTCCCCGGGGGCTAGCCAGTCAAAGGACACAGTGTTTTCTGTTCCAGTTAGGAAGCATGAGTCAGGAATAGCAGAGTTTTCAAGGAACTTGGGAACATTTTCTCATGGATGGAAGCAGACCTAAGAAAATAGAATAGAAAAAATACAGGCATTTGGTGGGTTTGCTGCAAAGATTAAGTTAAACCATATACTAGCTATCTTAGAAGATTCAATTTATGAAATTTTAAAAGGTGAAAATAGAATTTGAATGATGTGAGAGAGGGGAAAAGGGGCATGGTTTGGAGAAGTTGAACTAAAAGTAACTAAAAGTTATTTTACTTGTACTAAATTGTACTAAAAATTGTACTTGAAAGTAAATATGGTGAGTTATGAAAGTTACCTCTTCAATAATTTGCTAACCTGTTTGTCTTTTTTGCATATTTTTAATGTTCAGTTTTTAAATTGTTGAAATATATTAATTTCTAATGCCTTGTAAAATATGTAATTGTTCCTAGATGTTAACTAATATTTGTTTTCTTTTTTCTTTTCTTCAATAGTAAAAAGCCCCTTTGATGAAACGTTTGAAAAGATACAAGTAAGTAAAGATCAATAGTAACAACTGTATGTTTTAGGATAACTTACAAAATTTGGGAATTGAAAGGACCCTCAGCAGCCAGTTAATCTAACTCATGTTGTTGTTCTAAGATTACTATCAGTCTGTGGACTATTCTGATACATTTATATGGAATGTTTTCATGAGAACCTCAGTTTCTTTTGGTTCACAAGTACCCTAAGTTCAATTAAATCACATCCAGTTGCTATCAAGAAGCAGAATAATTTTGATCCTAGGATAACTCACTTTCAAATAGAAGTGATAACTTAATTTCAGATAGTTAAAATTTTCATAGTACCATACTGTGCTCCTTATCTGATGTTGGCAAGGGAGATTTGCTATTTTATGTGTGTGTGTGTGTGTGTGTGTGTGTGTGTGTGTGTGTGTGTGTGTATTAGTGCACATGTGCATAATTTGAAGTTTGGTCTGAATCTGAGAAGACTAGAAATTGGCCAATATCTACTTTGATAATATTGCTCTGAACTTTCATTGTGTTAATAAACGTGTAAGAATTTACAGGTTTACCAGCATCTAAATTCCTATTGTATGGCTTTGTAGTGAGTTATTGTTTTTGACTGTATTTTTCTTTATTATCAGATAAATAAGACTGAGATGGACAATACAGTAAATAGCTTTTGCCAGTAATTAAATAAAACTTTTACCTTTCCCTATGGTGTGGGACTCAGTTTGTTGGAAGCGTGTTACCTCCCTCATTGTGGCACAAAAAATACCGATGCTGCTGTCCTGGACATAATGAGCACCTTGTTATCCTTCCTAGGTGTCTCTGGAAGGCCTTGGAATTGCCTTGGAGTTATAGAATCATAAGCCAACAAAATGAGGGTATATGCTTGAGGCAAGCTCATTATTGTCTGTTGTCAAGTTCACGATCACAGTCTGTACACTATTGTATTACTTTTTGTCTTAAACATTAAATAGTGTATATTTTATAGAATCTGTGTTGGGACCTCTGAGGTTGTCTAGTCCTACTCTTACCTAAATAGAAATCCTTTTTATAATGTCCTATCAGGTCATTTAGCCTACATTTGGGAGATCTTCCAGTGATGCAGCTTGGATCGTTAGATTGACTGTGAATCAAGCACAGTCTGCCTCTGCAGATTCCACTCATCACTACTAGTTTTTCCCTATGGAGGTAGCAGAACAGTCTACTTGAAGATGGTCATCATATCTTTTCTCTTAAGTTTTTTCTCCAAGCTAAAGATAAGCAGCACCTTCAGATGATCCTCGCATGGCACGGTTTTGAGTCCTATCCTCTGGGTAATGGGGATGCGAAGATAAAACAAAGAAGTTCCTATCCTCACGGAGCTTTCATCTGTGGGGTCAAGTGATAGGTACACATATAAATAAAATGCAATATATACACAAAATAAGTACAAAGTAATTTAATTGAGGGAGAGGACAGTAGCAGTTGAAACAGGTCAAGAAAGGTCTCCTGTGTAACTGTGGTGTGAAGTAAGCTAGAGATTGTAAGAGGCAGAGGCATGGGGGTGGGGTGGGAGAGCAGTCTGTGCAAAGCTCAAAAAAAGGGAGTTGGAGTATCATATGCAAAAATTGCAAGTTTGGCTAGGCCAGAAAGTGCATGAAGGAGAATATGTAATAAGCTCGTTTCCAAAGCCCCCTTTCCAAGGTATCATTTGGACCAAGTTCAATCTTAGAGGGCCTGAACCAAGAGGACTTGCTTCTGTCTGGCTCTTTGTCCCCACCTGGAGTCAATTCAGGAAAGTCTCCACAATAAATCTTAGGTTTCCTCAATTGTGAGTAATAGGTCTCCAGCTCCCTCACAGGCACTTAATATAAAGTAATGACTGTTAGGCATGAGACAGTGGTTATTTCACCTATAGAAAATACCTAAGATGCTAAGGACTCTTGGGAGTCTGTGAACAAACAGAAACATAAAGCATTGAAAAGAAGCTCATTAGTTCCCCCCAGAATGTCATTGAACTTGGGTTTATCAGGGCCACCAATTGTCATTCTGATGAGGCCCCTTTGTCTACACAGTGCTACATAGTCTCCCCAAGATTCATAATGCTATCCTGTGATTTTAGGTTTCCTCTGCTCCTACCTCCAGAAGTTAAATCTACTTTGGTACTATGGATTTTGCTGCCCAAGTGAGGTATTTTACAACCCTATGGAGTCCCAGCTTTACTTTTCAACTTCTTGGAGCCAACATTCTCCATCATATTAATATCCTTCTTAGAATATGGTAGCCTGCTTGAACGAAGCATCGTAGTTTAGATGCCTGATCAGTTCAGAGGACACAGTTTGATCACCGTCTCATCTCCTTTGTTCTAGACATTTTATTTTTCTCTTTTAATCCAGCCTAAGTTACTTTTTCCCCCCTGCTGTATTGTACTTTTGAGGCATATTAAATTGACAGATCCTTTTTCAAAGAAACTATCCAGCCATATCTCATTCCCTTCTGGTACTTGTGAAGTTGATCATTTAAACACATGTAGAACTTGACATTTCTCTATATTACATTTTCCCTTATTAAGTTCAGCTCATCATTGTAACTTGTAAGATCTTTTTGGATCCTTCCTTTCACCTAAAGTTATAGCTTTTCTCCCCAGCCTTGTGTTATTTTACAAGCTTAATGATCAAGCCAAATATGTTTTTATCCAAGTTATTTATAAAAAGTGTTAAGCAGGCCTGCACAACTTGCAGTGCTTATGGCATGTCAAAGGATTTCCTCTACATACAAAGGATGCTTTCCTCTACGTTTTTTTGCAGGTGCCTGCAATCCTTTGGCGTGCCATAAGTGGCCCAAGGGCTGCAAGTTGTGGAGGCCTGGTGTTAAGTAGCAGAAAACCAAGAATAAATCCCTGGGGTACTCCAGTAAATATCTCGTTCTAAGTTTACATAGATCCATTAATAACCCTTTGTACCTGGATATTCAACCATTTCAGAATCCACCTAATTGCTGTTATCTAATCCATATGTCTTATTTTGTTTGTAGGCATAGCATGAGATAATTTGTTAAATGCTTTACCAAAATCTAGATAGATTCTACAGCATTCACCCCATCTACTAGTCTAATAATTCCCTCAGAAAAGGAATTAGGTTGTCTTGCATGACCATGTCCTTCATGAAGATCATCTTTATGATGACTTTGTTTTTTAAATGCTCATATACCATCCCAGTCACCTCTACCATACACACATTTGGTCTGGACCTGTGATTTCATCATGAGGGGCTATTGGTATTGAAACTCAATTACCCTGCTGATCTGTAACTTGTAAAGTGAGTTGCCCAGGATCACGCAGCTTGTGTGTGTCAGAAGCAGGAATTAATTGTCTTCTAACACTTAACCTGACCCTCTGTATATCTTGCATATATAATGGCATACCTTACCGTCTGTCATGGCCCTTATATGCATTCTAAAATTTTTCTAGGAGTTGAAGACAAGCTCACCATTAGCATACTCTCCCTCCACCCCCTTTGCTTTTTGAAAATCTAGGTGACATTTGTCTTTTTCTAATCCTTTAGCACCTGTCCCATTCTTCATGATCTTTTAAACATCTGTGCATTCTTTCACCACTTTGGGATATAATTTGGCCTGGCCTTGTGATTGAATTCATTGAGGGCAACCAGCTGCTCTCTTAATGCATTTTCACTTAACTTGGGTTTCAACTTACTGTTTAACCATTTTTTGTTTTGGGCTTCACAATTTTTCATGCTTGTCTGAGTGTGGATGTCACCTATCCTATAAATAATTGAGCAAAGCTTTTATATGGCTTCTCTCTCCTCTTGTCTCTTCTCTTTACTCAAATATGCAAATGTATGCATAAGGAGGATGAGGATAAGTTGAGTCCAGAATCTGACCTGTAAAAAATTATGAATTTAGGAGAACAGTATAGAAATAATATAAAGAATTTAGGAATAAGCAGAGTATTGGATGACATAAAGAACTATGGAGAATGAGGCAATTGGATCTCTTTTACTAGCAGAATAATGACCTTACAGCCTAATGATGACTTTTCTTTGGAAAGTTCAATTACTTCTAGGAATGAGGAAAATAGGAGAGGATAGGTGAAGATAGAATTTTTATGGTAGAAAGCTGGCAGTTGGATGGCTGTTTGTTGGGTAAAACTGGAGATCAACTAGGTGATTAGTAAATAGGTTTGGAAGAGTCACTGTGGAAATTTGACAGGTAATGTGTTAGGTAAATAGATTGCCAAGCAAAGTTGAGAGCTTAGCTGAGGTTAATCTGAATTTGTAGTGGTCTTCAGCTGGTTGTGTCTTTCTAAAAGACTCATGATGAAGCCTGACATTTGCAGATCCAGGATTCATGTTTGCTTTGATTGTTACAAGGTAAGGCTTCTATTTGGGGGGAGGAAGAGTTGGTAGGGATATTATTGGTTTAAAAAAAAAAGAAGAGAAAAAACATGACAATGAAACATTTAAAAACTTCACAAAAGAGAGCAGAATGAAGCTCAGAATGGTCTAAAACCAGTAGTTTTATTACTGTCATGTTAAATTTAGTATATACTTTAAAAAAACCCTACAGAATAGAAATGCAGTTCCATATACAATCCTTTTTTTGGTTCTTTGTATATTGAAACATTCATGTTTGTTGCTATTTCAGTTCATAATAAAAAGAAAATTTCAAAAAGAAAAATAGCCTAGTCAGTATGAAACTCTGTTTATAGAGGTCTATACAGAAAGAAGGTGCAGGTACCAGGATTCTTAGGCCACTGGCTTTAATGCCAAGGACAATGCCTTGTTGGTAGTAAACATTTAATAAATAGTTTAACTGAACCAACCTTCACTCAACCTGTGAAAGGAAATAAGACTCTAGACCTGCCTGGAATCCTCTGAAAGCTAATAAGGGAGCTATTGATCATATGTTTTAAGTTTCTGGAGGCAGTGTGGTATACTAGATGATTACTGAATATGGAGTCAGAGGACCTCAATTCTAATTTGTCTCTGCTGCTTTCTACTTATGTGACCTTGGGCAAGTCACATTTACTTCTCTGAGCCTCTGTTTCCCTGTAAAATGTGGGCTGAACTTGATTTTATGATCGGTTAATATTCATCAGCCAAAAGTAAGAGTTTAAAAATTGGGACAGAGGGGCTTATTTTAGAAATTTTAAGAAGCTTATTCTTGACAGAGGTTGACTGAAATATGGCTGCATTGACAAATATTCTCATAGAATCAGAGGTGTATAAAACTTCAGTCACTTCTCACTTCCTTGCATGCCTAGTATTATAACAAGATTAAGAAGAGATAAATGTCAGAAGGCCTTTGAGTTCTTTCTCTTCATCTTCCTTCTTCTCCCTCATCATAGACTTGGAGCTAGAAGAGACCTGAGAGTAGGGATTCTTAGCCTTTTTGTGTACTGGGCTCCTTTGACTGCTTTAGAAAAGCCAGAAAACCCTTCAAGGCAGGGAGAATTTTTTAACCTGGGTTCAGTGAACTTGGCTTTTAAAAAATATTTTGACAGCTGTTCTAATATAATTTGTCATACTTTATATTTTATATTATGCATGTAAGAACATTCTGACAACAAAGGAAACTGCTTCCTCCATTTGACAGATGAGAAAATGAAGATCCAGCAGAGTTGAGTTCCCAGGGTCACCTAAAAAATAAGTGGCAGAGCTGGGACTCCAAGCCAAGTCCTTGGACTCCAAATCCAACAGACTTCCCACTGCATCACAGTCATTGCTGTTTCTTTGGTCGTTCATGTAGTAACTGCTCATGTGGGTGCTTTTCAGTCTTCATTTTCCTTGATGACTTCAGCATCCATGAGACTCAGGGTAGTATGGTGTCTAAAATGCTAAAACTGGAATCAGGAGCCCTGGGTTTAAATCTACCTCAGAACCTAACTGACTGCTTGAACTTGGACAGACAACTCAGCTTCTCAGCCTCAGTTTCTCTTCTCTCTAAAATGAGGATGATAATAGGACCTGCCTTTTATTGTGAGGATCAAGTGAGCTAATATGTCAGAAGTGTTTGCAAACCTTAAAAATGCAGTTAGATATTTTTTGTTAGCCATTATTATACATGTTGACAACCTTTGCAAAAGCTGGCTCCACAGTTCCTTGATGCATTCAACTCAAATATCTTTTGTCATCACTCCACTTTAACTACCCATAAGCCTGGCAGCATCATTATCCAAAATTGTTCTGTCTCCAAGAACTTGAACTCTTTCCTCTTCTTTCAACCTGCTATCATTTAGTTCTTGTAGCCCCTTAACTCTTACTGAACTTGCTTTTTTCCTTCCCCAAACCTTCTAGTGCTTTAATGCCTTTCTTATTGTCAAATTTTGAAGCAAATGTTGGATTGGACTTACTATATGTATAGGAGAGGGGATTCCACCACTGTAATATACTGCAGGTCACCATCTTGTGTGCTCTCTTGGTGGAATTCAGTGCAGCTGTCACTTCCCTATTCCTTCAAGTTGTGTCCCACTTAGTCCATCCCAAGATCACCTTAGTTTTTATGACTGCTGTGTCACATTGCTGACTTATTGAACTTGTCTGTTAAACCCCCCCAGATCTTTTTCAAAACAACTCCTGCCAGCCATTTCTCCATCATCTCTTGTGACATTGATTATTTTGTACCTAAATGCAAGACTCTATAAATATCACTGGCAGTGGCTCAGCAGTCACATTTGCCATTTGCCAAGTTTTTCAGGACCCATGTATGTGTAGTTCATCTTATCAAAGTGACCTGAATTCATCAAAGACATCTCAGTGCTCTTGCCTTACTTAGGTTGGGTTTTAGCTCTGTTGGTCATTTTTGTCCTCTAATTTGCAGTGCAAAGGTCATTCTTTGCAGAAAAAACAGAAGTAAATTAATAATGGAGCAGCTCAACCTTCTCTCCACGTGGGAGAGACTGTCTTTGTTGATGCTGAATGTACTAAAATCTGCTTTCCCAAAATTTGGGTGCATGTCAAGACTTGGCCCAGTATTCCTGTCTTACTCTAGGGTAGAATTGTCACTTCCCCTCTAAGGTTCTCCTCATTTCCACTGCAGACACCAATTCCCCTCAGTTAATGAGAACTGGATCCAGAAGAGAATTTCCCCTTGTTGATTCCTCTACCTTTTCTTTTTTTTTTAATTTAAATTTAAATTTTTTAAATTATATTAATTTATTTTGATTTATCAACAATCACTTCCATATGCTTTTGAGTTGAAAATTTTTCTACCCCTTCCTCCCCGCCACCCTCCCCAAGATGGCGCACAATCTGATATAGACTTTACATTTACATACCCATTAAACATATTTTCACATTAGTGAAGTTGTAAGTAAAAATTAAAACCAATAGGAGGAACCATCAGAAAGATGAAACAAAACTCAACAGAAGGTAAAAATAAGTGATAGCGATTCGACTTCCATAGTTCATTCTTTGGATGTGGACAGTATTTTCCATCCCGAGGCCTGTGGAGAGGCTGAGGAGGGTTCAGTTTAACAATATTAGTCATTGCATAATGCCTCTACCTTTTCAAGAGTGAAATTATCACTAAGAGAAGTCAATAAGTTAGTAGAAGTTCTTTTTTGCCAGAATGAGCTCTAGTAGATGTCAATAATTGAATCCCCCATTGTTACTGTATCATGCCTTGCCTCTGTGCCAGTCTTGTGGTCTGTTTCCCAAATTAGTTGGTGATACAAAGTATTTTCAAAATCTCGAAACAAAATTCACTATTTTTCCTTCCTTTGAGCATTACCCAAATATTCTCCATAATGCCCCTCTGGTTTCTGAATTTTTTTCATATAAATACACCTTTATTTTAAATTATTATTTTTTAATGAACAGATATATTTTCTTTCCCTGCCACCCCAGGGGAGAAGGGGGAGGAATCCTTGAAACACATGTCTACTCAAGCAAAACACAGTCCCTCGATTCACCATGTCCAAAAATACTATGTCTCATTTTGCACCCTGTGCCTGTCACTTCTTTGTCAGGAAGTGAATCATATGTTTCCATATTTACATTCTTATATCATATATATGCATATGTATATGCATGTATATATATATATATATATATATATAACGTATACCTTCTTAATATACAATGCTATTCTCTGCGCCTCCCCCCTCCTTTAAATCTAACATGTGCCTTTTGAATAAAGCATTTATTAAATATTTACATTCAAAACATTGGGAAAACAGGTTTTAAAAGTAAGAATATCTCCATTTTCAAGATGGGAAGGAGGAGGGATATATGGAAGATTTCAGCTGCAAGTCAAATGGAAAGGTCCTGTGGTCCTTGGGGTACCATAGGCAAAACAGATGACAGTACCTCTTTGTTAATGTAATTTTCACAGATAAAATCATATTAATTTCTGATGTTGAACAACTGGACAGTGCCTAACACTTTAGTCACAGAAACTTTCTTTTCTGGGTATTGAATAAAGTATACCCATACAGATCCATGGTCCAGTTATAGATTTTTGTCCCACAAAATCTTAGTGATTCATATGACATCAAATTTGCCATCTTATGTTGCCTAATTTTGGAGTATTTGTGTATAGAAATTGGGATGGATTTTGTCTTGTGATTTTCTAGTTGTCTCAAGTTCTTCCTTGTAGGTGCTCTGTATAGTATATAATTTAGGGTGTGCACGTAGGCAGTCTTATTTCTTTATCCTGTTTAGTTTGAAACCTTTTTAGTTACCACACTTTGATTACCAATTTTACCAAGCTTTGTTAGGTATACTCCATCTCTGGTCAGGAATGTGTCATCCTTGTATTACAAACTGTGATCCAGAAAGCCTGATCCCATTTTCTGACACTATCTTCTTAGGTAGCTGTTTACTTCTCATATTAATTTTTCTCTTTTACCTCCCTTTCCATCAGCGAACAACAATGAAAT